ATTATTGATGCTGTTAATTTAGGTTTTGCATCTGATCCTTTGGAGTGACATGATCCATTGATATTTATTTGTTGTTTTAATTGTCACAGTCAGTCTAGTCCAACGTGAAGTAACAGTAAAAATACTAATACGTACTGAAAACAACGGATATATGGGCTTTGGAGAGTGTTTGAAGTTTACATACAAAGACCAGCGGAGTGAATTTTGGAATGAGTTTTTGCCAATTGTAAAAAACAGAGAAGCTGTCGGGAAAGACCTTTTGAAAAGGTTGCCATGCGCATCAACTGAATCTGGTGATTTAAACGCTTTTCGTCCACCAGAAGTTGGCAAGTTAAACAATTTTTTGTTCGATACAATGAAATATATGAACTTCATATATTTCATTGTATCTAATTTATCACTTTCACGGGTTTATTACGAATCAACTTAACGGCCTGCTCCCAGTTGGCTTGTTAGCTCAATTGGTAGAGCGCTGCACTAGTATCGCAGAGGTCAGTGGTTCGAATCCCGTACAGGCCTGATTTTTTTCAGGTCTGATTTTCGCTATTGCTTAAATAGCGCTATCTACTGCAAGGATCGTGCATCATACGTATCTAATACCGCAGTTCAAAATATATGAACTTCATATATTTCATTGTATCGAACGAAAAATTGTTTAACTTACCAACTTCTGGTGGACGAAAAGCGTTTAAATTATTATTATTATCTAATTTATCACTTTCACGGGTTTATTACGAATCAAATATGAGTGCAAAAATTCTGTATAACCTCATACTGTTCTGAAACAAAGCAAGTTTCCCAGCCCATGGGACAAAAGAGGACATTTTTTTCCATATTGTGGAAGAAAATGCAAGCAGATGAAACAGCTCATTTTTGGAAGAATCTGAGATTGTGTGCTATCCTTTAGACAGTCTGGCTATCAAAAGAAAGTGTGATACAATTGGAGAATTAATTTGACTCCAATTGTCAGTTCTTTGACTATTCTGAATTGTCTTAATTATTGAATGTAATAGGTAAAGGAAAGATGCCTCTTAATCACTTTGCAAAAGGAATTGAAAATGGCGTAACTGCGTTAAAAAAGGGAGGACAACAAGAGCACACTTTACAATCCAACCAGGGTAAGTGAAGATGATTACTTTTATAGCAAGATTTCTACAGAATGAGAGACTGAGTGTAACAGCCGTTAATTCAATGCTAATTGCATGTTTTATTAGATCTGTTAGCTCAGCACACTGTTCCAATACAATACTGTATGAGAAATCCTTACAAACAAGCAAGTGCCCTTGTCTGTAACCATGAAAATTGCTACAACATTGGTAATGATTCCATGATGTTTTATTACTTTGATTTGAGTCTAGTTAAATGATCCCTATCTGAAAAATTAAGGTAAGAACAACAAGTGGTATAAACACATTTTGGCCCGGGTATGACCTAGTGTTGAATGACAAAACCTTGGCAGAGACTGGGCCTTGTGCACAGGAAACCTAAGATTTACAACTAAGTTTGATTCCATTTGTCAGTTTGTTGACTATTCTGAATTATTTGAATTATTGATCACGATAGGTGAAAGAGACAATCAGTGTGCAACTGAAGCTGAAAAGGGCAGAACTGGTTCACTGAATGGGATAGTGGTTGAAGAAAAACAAAAGTTTGGAGGTAATTCAAAAGTAAATAATCAGCACCTTGTACAATCCAACCAAAGTAAGTGAAGGACAAGGCTTTCTGTAGGGAGATTTCCATATGGCTAAAATTGATCCACTAATAAGTTCAAGTTTACTTAAGTTTGATAATTAAGGGAGGCCCAGTTGAAGGAATGTGCCATTTCTCTGTGGGAGATGTGTTAGCTAAAATATGGTTTAAGCATACACAGCTTTTGGTTAAGGCACAAAAAGTTTCAAAAAGAGACTAAGGGCCTGATTACATGAGCCAGGCTGGCCCGGTTAGCCAGGCTGATTTCTTTTGTTTTGGTGTTCGCCAAAGCGTGAAAACAAAAGAAATCAACCCGGCTAACTGGGCCAGCTCGGCTCATGTAATCAGGCCCTAATAAACACTCTTTTAAAAAGCCAGATAGAAACTAACAATTTCAGTGCACCATTTTATATTCTTTGTTAATTAAAATGATTTTCTGTTAATTATAATAAATAATAGAATAACACTTGATAGTATTGTATAATTATATAGGTACATACGTAGAGGGCCAAAGGATCATCAGTTTAACTTCTGTCATGTGCTACCCTCTTGAAATAAAGTCTATTGTATTGTAAGGCATGTGTCTCAAGGTTTTTTTATGTTTTTCTTTAATTTTGATGTTGGGTAATTACACATAATCAAGGTTATTGATTCTATTGGGATGGTTGTGATCATATAGTAAAGTAGGCAATTATTTGTGAAGTCATTTATGGAACAAATTGAAATTGGGTTACACATTAAACAAGCCTCTGTTCCTTATTGAAGGTTTTACATCTGGTAGTGGAGGAAGTGATTGGTGGTCTTATTTGAAATCATGGCTTCCATTTCAGGATAATTCTGACAATTGCAGTGATAATGGTGAGTATTGTAGTTTATACATGAGAGATTCCAGGATAGCACATACATTTTGGCTGAAAAACCTCCCACCTTTAGCATATTCTCCTTTCTTTTTTTTTACTTCGATAACTTTCCCTGGCAAAAGAATTAAGATACAGAAGATTCAGTACCATAAATTGTTAG